TCGACGTTATGAGGAGATAGTAGGGTAGCAGACTGCTGGTAGAGAGTATGGCGCGATAGGAGGGTACCAGCTGCCTGCTATCGCGCCATACTCTCCTCTCCCGGACGCTGGTAGACGCTGGTGACGCTGGCAGACGCTAGATCGATATCTATACTTTCCTAGTCGCTGACGCTGCCAGACGCTCGGAACGCTGGTGGACGCTATTGGATCGTTGGTGGAGAATGCCACAAAGTATGATTTCAGTCTAAGAAGGTGAATGGCTGTCGGTCGGCGCCTGAACTAAGAAGTGATAGAGTTGAAACTTCGCGTCCTAGAATTTCTGTTCAAGTTTCTAAGTTCTTTTTTCTCCTTCGTTGGATTTATCACCAGCTCCAGATGATTCTGGAAGTTGTTCCAGATACTCGTCCTCAAGAATCGGTGTCGTTGGGTGTAGAGCTAGCCAGTAAGCCTCTAAGAATTTAAAAATCTTATTCGTAGCCTCGTTAAGTCCATTGTCTTCAATAATAACATCAACCTGAAATATCAGTAATTTTGAGAGACCGTTATAGGACTTTTGTTCGTTATACCTACCTGATCGGGAGCTAACTGGTTAAGAAAATCAGCACCAGCAATCGCATTTCCACCTTTGATACCGGTCTTCTTCAACAGCTTCAGCAGAATCTGTAAGAGGGCGTTCACACTTCGCGATCTAATCGCGCGAGCGATGTAGCCTCGCTGAACGCGCGACCAAATCGCATGCGCGGTCAAATCGATCAAGTCGCTTGCGCGAGTAGACCGATCTAGTCTGAGAGTTGAATGAAAAGCCTAGTCTAGGCTAATATATTTCAATTTATACAACTAAGCCTTAGACAGACCATCGGCGCGTGCAAACGCGAAACGGATGCTCTACTTTTTTTACCTTTGAAGCTTTTTGAGCTGCTTACCTTGCGATTACTAATTCTAAACAGAAACAGTATCGGAGCCATGTTCAATTGAGCGACATCGCCGGGTGTGCTTATGTTGGCACACTCGAGAAGTATCAAGTGCAGATCCTCGGTCATTGCCGTAATCAAGCGAAGTTCTCTTTCATTTATATCTGAAAAACCTCTAGGTAACCATGGGTAATGAGCTTCACTTACAACTCAGGTTCTTGTTCACTGAATTTCGTGGGAAGCACCGCCCATCGCACTACACTCCGCCCATTTCGGATGTCTCCTCCCACTAAACTATCACCCTTTTTAACCTTAATCTACTTTCCATTTCTAGGTTACTTTGGAAGCGAATTCTGAATTTCTGCCCGCGGACACTTTTCATCTTCGGCTCATGCGCGCCTCTGTGGGCGTGGCTCAAAATGGGTCACGTTTCCTAGGTGTCTTACTGTAGGACTCATAAAGGAATGAGTCATGAAAAAATTTGTGACAAATTGATTTTAGAATCCTTTTCAATGGAGCAACTACGACTGTCTATCTTCACCACCTCTTTTAAAATCCTAATGGGCTTACCTATTCTTATTTGGATTGAACCTTTGTCCACCGATATCTGTCCGCCAGAGCCTCGAAACTGCGCTTCGCAACTTTTTTCCTATTGCCGATCTGAAATTGTAGTTGATAGCTCTGAAACTTATTAAGTGAACAGATTTCTGCCTGCCTTCGTCCCTCTACTCACCGTCTAGAAGTGTGGTCGTGCACAATATAAGGAAGGCACAGAGGTACGTCTGTCTCCGGTCGAAAAGTTCAATTCATACGCAGAAATTTTTAGCTGATAGCGATGCTACGGTTGATATCGCCGCAATCCAACAGGGCGGTGTCTGGAGGCATGGAATGAACCCTTCGTTCCTCTCTACTTGTTGTTTCCCTCCGTGAACAGATCACCATTGGCGGAAAAGCAGTCGAGGATGGGTTCATCCCATTCTCCTTGCCTCCGCCCCGTGGAATTACAGCGACTTCAACTATAATTTCACTGGTTCTTCACAAACTGAACGGCAAGAACGTCCTAACGATGCCATTGAAGAGCAAAATCACTTCCACGTTTCAAGAGGCAGGAATTCCTTACCGTACTGCGGCATGCATGAGCTGAGTAAGTCGTGATGACTGATAGCATGGTCCCAGTAGAATAATAGGACGAGTTGACGGAACGACAGTGTACGGGTTTGGATACTCCCAATTGTCGGCTTTCCCGTCGCCCTGAAGCATCTTATTCAAAACTCGAATGATAAGGGCCTTACCTTGTTAGAAGGGAGATTCACTTGTAGAAAGGGGTGACAAGTTCGTGCTCTTAGGCGAGAGAAGAAGAAAATATAAAAAATAAGGAACTGAGGTCAAAGATTTACGCTATGGCGGAAGCGGCACTGCAAGTGTCACCGCTCGCGCGGCACTCGCACCAAAAGTTGATCAATTTAGCGCGGTGCTACAGCAACTCGAGTCAGCTGGTTGGGGAACTGCAGCTGGTCTCAGCTTGTCGTCCCAATCTAAATCTCCTTACCTGCACCCCAAAACAAAGTGTTCATCGTCTGTGAAGCCTCTATGACACCCCACTCCTTTAAACCCGTCCCTGAGTAGGGTTACCTGGATTCTGATTTGTAACACTTCTAAACACGGGATGCTGTACCAATCATGCCATGTCACCCCCTAATTTTCTTTTCAAATCGCCATCACGCCTGGGTGCTCTCATTAGGCTAACAGGGGTATATCCTAACCACATTGTTTTCCACTTCACCCTCAAGAATGTGAGCACTTAAGCGCATCTCAAGAAAGCAGATGTGTGCCGCGGACAAAGGAGGACGGCGCTCTAGGGTCACTGGGTTACACTGCAATAGTTCCCACGGTTGAAACTACCAAAGCCGAAAGTCCCATGTGGGAGATCCTTTTTTAGAAAACTTCCAGCGTGGTTGGCGCCTACATAAGGAAGGCATGCCTATTTGGACCTTGGAAATTGATTATTGCGGCAGATTCCGAGAAAAACCCACAGCAGATATTTCCTACAATCCGTGGGTAAATAGGAAGTTAAATCACATTAAAGTGTGACTTCGGGAGAAGGATGTGCAGATTTGAGCTTGTCCCTAGGCGATTGTGCATTTACCGTATCCGAGTAGTATTTCACAGAAGTAGAGCAATTTATAGCAGCTGATGAAGACCCGACGCTCTTCCAGTATAGTGGGCTATTTCGGTGCTGAACACCCTAGACATTTAGAGCAATGACAAACATTTTACCTTGTTGGACTTCAGGTGGAATTCCGAAGGAGAAATGGGGAATACCAAGGAAATGGTCATCAGAGCTCTTTATCTATGCTTCTACAAAATCCCTCATCCTCTTGCTTCCCAGTCCTTTTCTAGAACCCTTAACCAAGTTGGCCGAGAGTTTAAGAAAAAGATTCAAAAATGGGGTCGAAACAAAGCTCGCAGCATTTCATAGCTTTGAAAGATCCCTTGGGCAGTATTGGAGTTACCGTGGTCCGTGTACTACTGCTCCGGATTGTCCTATGTTCTCGGAATCGCGCTGAACTCCCAAAACTTCCTGTTAAGCCTACTTACACAATCGTGTTCTTGTCGACAGATTTTCCTGGCTCGTCTTCTTGCTGCTCAGTCAATCGTGCAAGTCGCCGTGCTGTCGGTATGAATCCGATCGTCGTCTCTGCTGCGACAACTCGTCCAATCCACCAGTCGTGAGTGTAGCGCTGAAAGTCACCACATCATCTATGCTGCACTAGAGCAGCATCATCTGTGGCCTTCAAGAAAATGAGTGACACTCGTTTTCACTGCAGACGCTGGGGCGCTCAGTGGAGCTGGGTTTGGGTCCCCGCCAGCCCATTCTCCATGGATTGTTGAAGCGGGCCAATGACAGGAATTAATGGCACCGCCCTGAATCCAGCCTCCCTGACACGCCCCAGCGTCCTCAGCGAAAAGGACTATAGTTGACTGCTTAGGCATTTTGCCATGGTCCTGCGATGATAGACGGGCATGTCAGACAAATGAAAGCGAAAGATAATCAAAAATCGAGAAAAAATGAGGGCTGAAGCCAGTGATGGTTCTACAAAGTAGAGTGGTCCTGAGGGTGGTTGAACCACCTACACAGGGTGAAAAATTAGAGTGTCTGAGAAAAATTAGAGTGTCTGACGTCTCAACAGTCACAAAACGCCATGAAGAGAAGAGAGCCTAGACGAGGGGAGCATAGGATTAATAAGGCTCAAAGGACGAGTATGGGCAGTTCGTGGATCATAGAAAAGGAAGCAAGGACGCTGTTCGGTTCAGAGGGGGCATTGCTCACTTTCGTTCCTGTTGTTGTTTCA